GTGTAACCATACATAACTAGAGTTTATTCATCCTAATCCTTGTAATTGATCATTCATGGCAGAACAGTGGGAAAAGTGCTTATAATTTTTTTTATTCTGGAGAGATCTTACAAATTACCTACTTGTTTCCCGTTGCTCTATTTAATTTACAATGCAACTGTTCATCAAAACATCACTAATGTTTGGAAAGCTACCGTTCTGAAAAAAAAAAAAAAAATGAAAACAAAGTATTTTTCCCCAAGAAACAATGCAGAGAACTAAAAAATAAAAATTAGTGCTGTATTTTGGATGCGATTAATCGTTTGACAGCACTAATAAAAATACAAATAATGAAGATCTTACTTTGGCTATGTAATCCCGATTTATATAATTGACATTTTCCTTTAGTTTGTGTGGTGGGATTATCCATTCTCTCTTCTGTCTGATTTTCTTCTGTTGTCCTTCAGATGCTGAAGTGTTCAGGATCTACACAAACACACAAACACAAGTGTCTAGTTCACCTAATAATGTGAGAAACTAAACTGGAGAGCAGTAAAACAGGTGTAAGAATCGATCCAAAATACACACAATTAAATAATACTTTAACATTTTTTTTCATAATACATCTGTACACATGTACATACAAATTGTGTCTATTTTACACATTATGTGTATTTTACTCACATATCTTTATTTGTTATTATCTGTGTGTTGTTGTTGTTTTCTCTGTTTACTGGAAGTTTCTATCACCAAAACAAATTCCTTGTATTTTGATTCTGACGAATTTAAAACTCGATTGCATCATACAAAATAAAAAATATTCTGCGCACAAGATGATATTTACCATAAATCCCGTTTCACATTTCATCTCAAGCATGCTCTCGAAAGATTCTATTGTCTTCTTGTAAACAAGTATGCTTATTTTTGAAAAATCATTTTTTTAGAGGCTACATTGTTTGGGGAGGTGAAAATAAAGCCACACATGGGGCTGCTGACATTTGAAAGAACCAGGTTTAAAAAAAAAGCAAACAAAGAATAATAGTGTTAATAAAGCTTGTGTTAGTTTTAATAAAAATAATTCTCTGATAAATGCCTTAAGTTGAAGAATCACCGACATACAGTCAACCTTTTGCTTTGACTTCGTCTTAATTCCCACCCATGCTCTCTTCCTCTGGCAATCTGGTAATGCAATAATTTAACTAATAACATCTATCTCTATGAAAAAGGTCAGTATTAGGTGACATCTAGCCTGTATATACAGTTCTTAAATTAATATCTTCTCATAGTTCATTAATAAAGAATGAGCAGCACACACACACACACACACACACAATCCTGGCTGAGAAGATTAAAGGAAAACAGCAGTTTACACACGTAAATCATATTAAATAATTACATTATTCATACACATTCACTGTATTGAACACATGTACACATTCAAACAAAAATATATAATAATAATAATGCTGGGTTGTTTCAAATATGGACTAACCCAGCTGTCGGGTTACATTTTTAAATAAAAATGTTAACCCAAAAGTTGGATTCGTCCATATTTGACCCAAAGTTGGTTTGAAACAACCCAGTATTTTTAGTGTTCATGAAGAAGTGTTTAGAGAGTGTTTAGGAAAAAATATCAAATGAAAGAAACGAAACTTTGAGGATGCAGACAGAAGAAGAGTTAAGATTATATTCGAGTCAACATGAACACTGGAAACTCTTCAGTCTTTTCGCTCACCGCCAGAATCAGCGCTACGAAGAGTGAAATGCCGCAGATGTTCGCCATCATGCGCCGCCGCTGCTGCCGTTACTCGCGGAACTTAGACGCGGACTGAAGTGCGGTCAGCGGCGGGCGGAGCTTCAGCACAGCGCCGGAGAATGCGGGAGGCAGAGCGTCCTCCTCCGACACACCCTGTCAACACTGATAACACCACACATAGTGCGTCCTCATAATGATTCTAAAGAATAGCATGCTAGAAATATGAAATATTGTATTAGTATTTGAAAAATAAAATGCATTGTCTTGTAATAATTTTTTTTAAATAGAACGTTCAGTCAGTTATCTGGCTTTGCTAATGTTTGCTATTATTTAGAATCCTCGGAGAATATTCAAAAGTAGCATTCCCATAATATTTCAAATGGAATGTTCACTTAATGTTCACAGAACGTAAACATTCATAGAACACATTTTTTGTTTGCTGGGCATGCAGCATTGATTCATTATTTAAAAGCAATGCTGCATGCCCAGCAAACAGAAATGTGTTTGCAAAATGGACATATCTTTTCATTTTTACAGTTCGTCGTTGTAGTTATTCATTGCTCTTTGTTGACATTGTTAAGCCCTTGGTAACCAAATCACTGACTATAGACAAGCCAATGACTAACTTTAGGCATTAGTGTGAAATGCGGGCTGAGAACTTGACATAGACCCCCCCCCCCCGAAATAATTTGTCTGTTCTGACTTTCAAACTATTTTTAGAGTTTGCTAAATTTCACAAATAATAAAAAAAAAAAAGTTACAAGTTGAACTGAATGTGACCATTTTAAGTAGAAATAGTGTATTCTTGTCAAATGTACTCCAATAGTCTTTTTTCTTTTTACAACTTTGATAATATATATATATATATATTTGTAAGACTTATCAATTTTGATCATCAATTTGTTTGTAACCATTAAGAAAGAAAGAAAGAAAGAAAACTGCTACTATGGAAGCTGTTTCCACTTCAAAGTAAAAAATAATAATAAACAATAAAGAGTTTTGAAATTTTAAGTAAGAAATAATTGTGAGATATAAAGTTACATTTTTAAAATATAAAGCTATAATGGCAAGAAATAAAATCACATTGCTTGTATTGTGTTTATTTGTTTTATGTGCAAGAAGATCAGAAGACATATGCATTTGTGGAACCAATAGGCGGATACAACTTCTGTGTGTCATGTGGAGTTTTACAGGTTTTCCCCAACTGTTTAAACACTATCCCAAAACTCTAAACACGAAACTCTAGCAAAAGCAAAAGCAAACACTGCATTCAAAACTATTCACTGTAACATTGACAAACAATCACTGAGTAACACAGGGCTACTGATTTGTGTGACTGCAGGATACTACAGTACACATACATATAGAGCATAGTGTAGATCAGTGTTTCCCAAACTTTTAGTCACGGCAGCCTTTGGAAATTTTAACAAATTTGTGGCACCCTACAAAATGAATTGTCGTCACATATTTGAATTTTCTAAC